AGGAGGAGGAGGAGGAGGAGGAGGAGGAGGAGGAGGAACTCTACCAAAAACTAGCCTATAAAGAGATTAGCCAATAATTTTGGAAGCTCTTCAAGCATTGGCTTATATCCACCACCAGCAGAAAGTAACTCTACAAATGTAATACTTCATTAGCCAAAGTTGACATCTGGAGAAAGAGTCAAACAACCGCATAATCAGGAATGTATTCACAACAGTCATCTATGATCCTGTTTAATTAAATAAGGTTCTCTTTTCCTGAAAATGTTATCTTTATTTAAAAAAAAAAATGCAACTGCTGAGCACACTACTTATATTTTTAGGTAGTCGTACCCTTTGCTATATGACACAGAATTTGTTTGATTAGCAGACAATACCTGCTCTGACAACTAATGCACCATTTAAACAATGGCAGAAAAATATATCTAAATTTGTGTGGTAGTGAAGAAAACTACAAGTTAAATATAATGTGTTACAAGATGTGAAGGAAAAAGGAGGATTGGATTTACCTGATTTGAAATTTTATTTTGCAGCTTGTTGTTTGGTTTGGATGAAAGAGTGGGTGTTGGTGAGAAACAGGAGATTTTTGGAGTTAGAAGGGCACAGCCTGAGATTTGGGTGGCATATTTGTGTTACGATAAAGTTAAGGTTAATGTGGATTTTAAAAATCATTATGTTAGATGTGTCATATTGAGAATATGGAATAGATGCAAACTCAGGTTGTGCCCGAAAACAGCTTTGTGGCTCTCAGCACAAGATGTTTATAAATGAGAAATAATAAGCTAACACAAATGGCCAATTTATCGTGAGATATTAGAATTTTGTCAGGGGGAATATAAGGTAAAATCAAGAGAAGATCTGGTGGCAGAGGCATATACTTGTCAATGGTTTTCATAGGTACAACTATTAGAAAGATTTAAAGTACATAAAAGAATTCATGTTTTTGAACATTGTAAGACCAAGTTTGAAATAGAATTGTGTACAAATGACGAACATGTTATTACTAAAATGTATAAACTTTTACTGAAATTTGAAACAGAAGAAGAAGAAGAAGTGAAAGAACGTATGATAAAATGAGCTAAAAATTTTGGTTATAATATACAGATGGAACAATGGGAAAATATATGGTTGAAAAGATTGAAATTTACATTACATTATAATCTTAAGGAGAATTATAATGCAATGATGCATTATATAGTAGTATATGTCATCAGAGTAATTGTCTAGAATGTATAAAGGTACCTTGAATTTATGTTGGAAATGTGAAAAACAAGAAGGGACATTCTACCGTGCTTGGTGGACTTGTAAAAAAGCCTGGAAGTTTTAGATTCAAATTCATACACTAATTTAGAGGATTTTAAAGATAAATATACAATTGAAACTGGAGGCTTTTCTTTTGGGACTGATAATAAACAGTTGGAAAAAAGTCATGGAACTTTTTTATATATACATGACAACTGCGGCAAGATTATTATATGTACAAAGATGGAAAGTTTTGGTACTACCCACAATGGAGGAATGGTTGGTGAAGATGATGGAACTTGCAGAAATGGCCAAACCAACTTCTTTGATTAGAGAAAAGACAATATCTACATTTATTGCTGACTGGAAAATCCTTACAGACTTTTTGCATGAAAGAACCAAAAAAATGAACTTATGATTTATGGGTTTTTTGAATAGAGAGGATAGAAATGAAAGAAAAAAATGAGTTATTTTATAACCATAGAGCAAGAGGTAAATTTATAATTGTACTTATAACTGCTGCAAAAAAAAAAAAAAAAATCAGAAGCTACTTCTTACTATTTTCTTTCTTTCTTTCTTTCTTTCTTTCTTTCTTTCTTTCTTTCTTTCTTTCTTTC